ATGCATGTTAAAGCTATGGCAACAATAATATATTATTGAATCAACTATAAGGCGCATTGTTAAAATAACTATAAAAAAATAGTTGGCACCTTAAATCACTATAAATTATAGTGAAATTGTGATAACTGCAACTATTTTTTTCTCTCAGTGTGTGGTGACGTCCGCGAAATTCTGCTGGCGAGACAGAAATTCGCGATTCTCGATGATCATGCGGATTGGCGATTCGCAAAAGACAACCGACGGTACATCATCGTCTCGTCGAAGAGAGACGGAGCAAAAAGTATGCGTTCCCTCGATTCTCCCGATGTGATCGACGAACATCCCTGGAATTCACGCTGGCGACGATGTTACGTAGCCGCGTGACGATCACGCAGGATGTGCGAACCGTTCGATGTATAGATGTCGCGTCCGTTAATTAATCTGCAAACGCCAGCGCGAATCACGCAATTGGTGCGCCGATTGAAACTCCTCTTATTATCGCCGATGTTGATTACGCGGAAAATTTCCGGAGGCGCTCCAGGATCGTCCGTTGCACTTGATGGTGCGCAATGTGTCGCAAGATGTATCGTTGTCTTGACCATAATCGAGAGACCATACCCACGTCGTTGTTTATCGTTCACTCCCAACTAGTCAACTTGAAGCTCTCTCTCTCTCTCCGCACTCTCTCTACTATCGACGGCGATCTCTTAACGTCCAAATATTTTTGTATAAGGTATATTCCTCCTACAGAGAAAAACTTGGTCAAGGGAGGGTAATGGTGACGGCCTGGCAGTTCACTCCGCCAATGCGACGAATGCTGTGGGTAGTACTGTAGTGTCGCAGCATCATACCCAACAGCAACAGCAGCTGCAACAACAACAGCAGCAGCAGCAGCAGCACAGCAAGCAGACGAGCGGTATGACAGCGCACAGCAAACAAGTCGCCAACGCGGCAAACGGAGGCGGTGGCGGTAGCAATCCCCAGGGCGACGGGGATTATCATTTGGTACAACATGAAGTGCTCTACTCTATGACTCATCAGTATGAGGTTCTCGAGTTCCTTGGCAGAGGTACTTTTGGGCAGGTAAGGAAGAACACAATTCGCAAAGGATACAGATTCGATGTGAAAAGCATTTGACCAATGACAAGTGGACACTTTTCTGCAGGTTGTAAAATGTTGGAAGAAAGGAACAAGTGAAATAGTAGCCATCAAAATTTTGAAGAACCATCCGTCGTATGCGCGCCAAGGACAAATTGAGGTGGGTAGGTGAAAGATATTGAAACGTAACGCACGTAAAAATAAGCGTAGGAAACAAACGTATACGGAAAACAAAATGAAAAAGATCAATTTCGAGCACAGACAAGATCTTAACACACGGAACATATAAAGAAAATATCAGCAAACATCTACTAGATTGCTTTTCATATTACACTGGCGATTTATCATATTGATTTAAAATATTTATAGGTATCGATCCTGTCTCGACTTAGTCAGGAAAATGCAGATGAGTTCAATTTCGTGCGCGCGTATGAGTGTTTCCAACACAAGTCGCACACTTGCTTGGTATTTGAAATGTTAGAGCAGAACCTCTACGACTTCTTGAAGCAGAATAAATTTTCACCTTTACCTCTCAAATACATTAGGCCCATTCTCCAACAAGTACTAACCGCTCTCTTAAAATTGAAGGTACATGTCCACACATATCTGTTTACATGACGTTCGACTCGATGATGAGGAGATTGAAGATATAATAATCTTTTTACTGTTGTAGCAATTGGGATTGATACATGCTGACTTGAAACCAGAGAACATTATGCTGGTAGACCCAATGCGTCAACCTTATCGAGTGAAAGTCATTGATTTCGGATCTGCCTCGCACGTGTCTAAAGCCGTCTGTAATACTTATTTGCAATCGCGATATTATCGCGCGCCAGAGATCATACTGGGACTTCCATATTGTGAAGCGATAGATATGTGGTCTCTCGGTTGTGTGGTAGCGGAACTGTTTCTGGGATGGCCTTTGTATCCAGGAAGTTCCGAGTACGATCAAATTCGATATATAAGTCAAACACAGGGCCTACCAACGGAGCATATGCTAAACAACGCCAGCAAAACAACCAAATTCTTTTATCGAGACATGGACAGTACGTAGCTTAATCCAAGATCATCGAATTAGCGAGCAACGTTTCAAAATTTACATATGTTTTTTTAGGTACATATCCATTTTGGCGGTTGAAGACACCAGAAGAGCACGAGGCAGAGACTGGTATCAAGTCCAAGGAAGCAAGGAAATATATTTTTAATTGTCTTGACGATATCGGTCAGGTTAATGTACCGACTGATTTAGACGGGGGTCAACTCTTGCCAGAGAAAGCGGATAGGAGAGAATTCATTGACCTTTTGAAAAGGATGCTTACAATGGACCAGGTAGTAATATCTACTTGATGCTTTTTTTTTGTTGTTGAAAAGCGAAATCTTCATGTATGTAAATGTAATAAAATACTTGTTTTTATACGTTATTTTTTTATACTTGTCAAATGCGCAGGAGCGCCGTATAACACCGGGTGAAGCATTGAACCATGCGTTTGTCACTCTGGCACACCTAGTCGATTATGCCCATTGTAACAACGTCAAAGCTTCCGTCCAAATGATGGAGGTTTGCAGGCGCGCAGGGGATTTCACAGCGAGTCCAGCACATCATCAGGCTCCGCCGGCGCCTCAGCCACCTCCACCAACGTCTTTAGTAGCCAATTTTGTACCTACAACAAATGGCAGTGCGGTAACTCTCACCTTCAACAACCAGCTGACTAATCAGGTGCAGCGATTAGTCAGAGAACATCGCACCGCGCAAACAGGCTATGACAATCTCGTAAGTTTTTCGAGATGAACATGTGTTCACTCGAATTGAAGTTGTATCCTAAATTCTATTTCTCAATTTCAGTACCAAATATATAGCAACGGAAGTCGACGGGCGACGCAATATAGCAGTTCGTCCAATGGATCCAATAGTGGGCGAAGTGGCGTGCATGACTTCCCGCATCAACTGGTTCCTGGTATATTGTGTCCTCCACCTGGTTACCAGACTATGCCAAGTCCAGCGAAGCATGTGGTTGTTGCTCAAGTAAGAAAATTAGAGAATAATGTCAACTTGAGCAAATACAAACGTAGATTAGATCGAAGTGCTATAAATAAAAAACTACTCCGGTTTTGATTTATTTTTGTCCATCATCAGCCAATATATTGGTGATAAAAAAAAACAATAGTTTAGAAGATAAAGAGAACATCTATAAAATAATCATTAACTTAATATATAAAATAAATACGCACTAAAATGGAATAAAAGTCATTATGGAAGTAGAGTAGGATTAAAAAAAAACTAGTTTTACAATATTTGAAGATGTTTTACAATATGTTTAACTAATTGATGTTTGACTAATTGATTGATGCGCGTTATATAAAAATTAGATTAGATATTAATGACATATTTATTTTACAGCCACCGCAAGCGCAACAAGCACCTTTGCAGATTCAGCCATCGATCATATCCCAACAAGCAGTAGCCGCGGCAGCTGCAGCTGCACAACAACAGTACGCTGCAGTTCCCGTGTCTATGGTCGAGACTGGTCGGCAAATGTTACTTACCGTAAGTAAAAATAACATTTCACATCACTATCCAAGGACTGCTTAATGGTCTGGTGTGTTGATGTGCGTTTATGATCATCATAGAATGCTGTACAGACATCTTGGCCTGGTGGAAGTCGTCAAATGGCCGCAATCGTACCATCATGGCAGCAATTACCGCCGCAACATGCAGCCATTCAACAACCACTACTCAGCGATGCTGGAGACTGGGGAAGACCTCTCATTGTTGATAGTTCTGCTATTCTACAGGTAGCACTTGTCGATAAACTGTTCGTTAATAACTTGTCGATACTTACGTTCAGATTATTATTATTTATTTTTTTATTATTTATTTACATTGATCTGCTACTTGTGCAATTTTTTCTGATTGCTTGATTCAAGTTTTTGATACGCTTCGCGTATCAGAGAGAAAGTTCAGTGTTTAACTAATCTCCCTTGTTTTGGGGAAGGATCAGCGGCCGGTATTTCCAGTCACAGAAGTTTACAATGCTAGTGCACTCGTCGAGCATCCTTCGCAAAATTGGGGCAAACGCACTGTAACCAAACATCACCAGCATCACGTTACGGTGCCTCAGCAGACCCAACATAGACACGAGCACAAGAAGGAGACCCAACAACTGAGTCCGGTTAAGAAGCGAGTTAAAGAAAGCACACCACCTAGCAGCATGCGACGACACTCGCCTGTGAGCAGTCACTGGCAGGAACAGCCAATACAATCCCACCATCATAGCAGCAAGCATAACAGCAGTAGTCATAACGTGGAGCATCAACCGGTTGCAACATTGCGGCAGCAGACTATTACCATCGACGACACGCCTTCTCCAGCCGTTTCAGTTATCACAATTAGTGATAGTGAGGATGAGGCACCCGGCAAATGGTAAGCTTACGCTTAGAATTTAGTGAAACGTTCAATTTATGTAGAACTAGATCGTATCAGCAACAAAATATGATATTGTTTTGTTGTAGCTGAACATAGTTCTTTGTTTTTTTTATCTTTAGATTTACTTATAGAACAGATAGAATTATTTATTTTTTCTGTAAATTCAGATTTCAATATTATAGAGATGTGGTAAAATTGTTGACTGTGATCATTCTCTTGATAAAAAAAAAAAAAAACAAATTACACTCGATTAAGCACGCGTATCTGTTAGCGTATTATCAGTTGGTAGTAGAATCACGCATGGTATCGTTAACAGCTGCGGAGACCGTCAATGCAGTGCCTGTCAAAGTTTGGCAACTCGCCTCTCGGGCGACGGACGTCCTGTCCGTGAAGAAGTCATACGAAGGTATATTAATGTGTAATGTGCCGTTAAAGGTGGTGTCACGCGATAATCAATTAAGTCACATTGAGAATTGTATGTTTAACAAGTCAAATATTTGTGATTAAATCTGTCATGCTGCTGTTACTCAGCGTTCGGTGTTTGTTCTAACATATGCTTGAAGGAAAGTCTCGAAATGATCGTTTCTTTTGTGGATTTCAGAAATTTTTATAAAGTCTGAAATTACATGTATTTTTCACATACATTACTTTATATGTTACAATTTTTGTAAGTTTGTTATTTATTGTTTTGCTGTATGTATTTGTTTTTTATTTGTCATGCGAGTAACATAGTAAATATGGGCTAACAGGGATCTCTGTGGTTGCGGAGCTTGGCGTGAAACAACTATCGACTAACACACACAAAGCCACGTCTCTTAATAAATAAATAAATAACATCGCAAATCATGTCTAACATGCGATGTCTCACGGATGCGGTTCTAACTTGTCAGCAGTTTATTTGCGCATAATGTTTTGTTATTTTGAACGCGAAACTTTGCGTTGCAGCACACAATCGACGCCGCGCGTTGTGCAGACAATGCAGCAGTCGGCGCATACAAGTAGTCAGCAGCACTCAAGCGGACATGTCACGACACATAGCAGTAGCTCGTCTTCGCATCGCGCGCAACGCAAAAACGTCATCAATTGCGTTACCGTTAACGATAGCGACGGCGAAGCTAGCCCAAGTCGTTCGCATTCTCACTTGTACCAACAGCTACCGCAACATCCACAGCACCAACAGACCACGCAGTTAATCAAACACGAGCCCCAACAGCAACATCATGTTAGGTGAGCCTTTTATAATATTTTTTTTTGTTTTGTAAAAAATGCTTTTATCGGGCTTCAAATGCCTTTACATTTTCAGTTAATAGATTTCTTATTACACGTAACTTGCGTGTATCAGATGTGTGGTTTCTTTTTATGTAATTTTTTTCACTATTATTTGTGCAAGCAGCAGTAGCTCAGGATACTCTTCCCAGTCTCAGAAGAAGCGATTGATAGCAAAAGTGCAATCCGAGTGCAACATGGTGAACGTTGCGACGAAGCCGGAACCCGGTGTCGAGTATCTTGCTCCACACCCATGTCACGCGCCAGCCTGCAAAGAGCCACCGACCTATCAGGTTAGCTGAGATTTCTTATTTATTACGTCCTCTAATTTTTTCCAGTAAGTCTCTCTACTCTTTTTGATATTTTTCTCGAAATCGCATATCCGTTTTGTTCATCTATCTATCTTGCAGAACGTCTATACGCATAAAAAGGGACTACTACCACGTGTAACGGTCACAGTAGTTTTGCCTCTTTTGTTTTAGTAATTTTCGTTGATTAATGTGTTTTTTAGGATGACGTCTATGACATGCATGACCACTTCTTGCAGTATGTGACCACGAGTAGTGCGCATCCTCATCTCCAAGAGCAGCATATCGTATATACGACCGGCACGGACAAACGAGTGTCTTGGCCTGGGAAACGAGCCGAGTATAAACACGAATACGTTCAACCACCGGCTGCTCACTCCAGAGATCACAAATGGGTGGTGGCCAATCCTGTGCATCAATATAGGTGAGTTTTGTTCCCAAGTAGTTGTATCACTTTTTCGCACGATAGTGTTTCGTTTGCAGTTTTAATCGAAACATTTGATCATGGAGAAGAATATTCGTCAGGAGAAGAAAATATATTGTAATAATCAAATAAGACGTATAAACTATATAATGAAAAACTAGGTTTTATTTCGCGGATTGTAGGCAGAGCCAGGTAGTAGGTACGGCAACCCATCCCGGCCATACTCACAGCCACCATGGGCATCCAGCTCATCTTAGTCCCGGCGGCAGTGGCGGTGGCAGAAGTCCCGCCGGTGGGCCTGTGATAGCAGGTTTAGGGCAACCGCTCTATCAGGAGTACGCTCACGTACGTTCGAGATGTCCACCCCCTGTATACGTTACCGCTGCACCATCGCAAGCTGCTACTGCCATCCAGCAGCAACAAGTGCCGACTTATCAGGGATTCACACCCGGGTGAGTAACCGAAATACTGGGTAAATAAACGTAGTATTTTTCATCTTGTTGAAAAGTTAAATACATCGTCGCTATTTAATAGCGTTACGATTATCTGATTGTGCAAGATGTTATGATGATAAAACTTATTGTTTGTTCTCTTTTTTGCAGTTGAAGAGTTTTCTAATGTGCATTATCCCGTTTTTTACAGCTCGTCTCCATTAACGTTGTATGATTCTAGTCGAGCGTTGCCACCGCCAGCTCATCACAGCTCGGCCAGACCGTTACTGGCGAGTCACGCAGCACACCCGTTACCTGCGCACATGCAGCCTACGGCCGTTTACGGATTAGCCCCGCTTTCACCGGCCAAACATCAATATCAACCTTCCAGTTTATGGTTCACCGAATAATTATTCGGGAAGTGTGTAAAATGAGCGAGCATAATGAATAATCGCACGATTTTCTGGGAACTTACGAGTTGCTCGTGTCAATCAGCAAACGCGCGTCATAATCGATCGTACGGTAACGAAGAGAAAAAGGATGTCACGCGCATTTTTTTTGTCTTCGTGCATTTGGCCAGTAATTGGAGCGGGAAGGGAGCGTCCAGACCGCTGTAATTTTATGAATACGATTCATTCAACTACTGTACTGCTTGTTGTATACTCACAGGAATTCACAATCATGAGTTGAGAAAGTCTACTGAATGAAAAACAAAAAAAACAAAAAAAAAAAAAAAACAAACAAACGGAGCAGGAACAAAAATAAACACTTTGACAATCCGTCCTATATATAAGCAGCGACCACTCCCTTCTAACCACTCCGCTCTCATAGAAGATGAAAAAAAAGAAAAAAAAAAAAAAAATACGAGATCGCGGTCAGTGTAACTAGATCTCTTTGTATATGTTTGTTACGCCTCTTATATATGTATGTATATTCGGAACAATCCCAGTTTCTCTTATCGCGACAGTTTCATAAGAAAGTCAAACGGGAAGAAAGATTATCATACTTTACCACACCCAGTTTAACACAAACTGATTTTTTTTCTTTTTTTTTTTTAATCAAATCTCGTCATATCGTTTTCCATCTTTGATTTCAAGGGAACGTATATCTCGACATATACGGCATGTTGTAAATTTCGTAAGTTTCCAGAGACACCGAAGTTTTATTACGAAAAAGGTAAAACAAAAAAACGAGAATTTATAAGGACGTTGTACAGACCAAAATTTTCTATCAAAGTGTTTCCGATTCGTTTAACATACGCACACACGCATGATTTTGCTCTATTGTACATATACGTATTATAAAATCGGTGCGTAACTTAAACAAATCGGAAACACATCAATGTCGACGATGGAGATACGAGGTGCGCATAATGGCAGTGCCGATTTATGTACGCGTATAAAACAAAAAAAAAAAAAAAAAGAAAAAACTATTAACGAATATCGTTAATAGTTTTGTTTGCGATTCAGTTTAAACGCAAGTGAGTTTGCATTTCTTTGTGATATGTCTGGAGACATATCGTGAAAGTATCTTGTTTTTAATGTTCTTTAACACATAATTTTAGCCAAATAGGTTTTTTTTCTAATCGTTATATAGCAGCGATTACTTTGTTCTTACTGATGGGATTTTTCGAGTGTATTGAGAATTTCGCGCTACGAGAAATTGTATTATAATATACTGTAGTCTTTTACGACATTTTATTTATAACGGGCGCTTTGACAACTCTAACGAAGCAGCCACATTATTTTCTGTAGTTTGCAGCGTGTTATATTGAAGTATACGTTACTCACACACACATACACATTAACGTACACATTATTTAGTTACGCTGTACATTTGAGGAGGAAGTTCTTTGTGTAGGATTATTCGAGTTTTCGCCGTAAGTCTTATATACGAAGGCTCACTCGTCGGGAAAAAAAAAAAAGAATGCATACATAATAATGTAGAATCGCGTCATGAATTCTTCTTGAGACAATTGCATGACGCAAACACATCCGAAATTGACGAAAGCTTTGACGTGCCTTTTTTGGAATAGTCTCATTATTTATTTCAATTTTCTGTTATTATTTCTGAATAGTCTTCATCATTTCATAGTCATTTTCTTCGTTGTCATCTAACTTTCCATTCATTATTGTTGCTCTGATAATCGTCATTCTCATGCCTTCTATTTTGTTTCGAATTGTACAATTATTAACGTGTTATTTAGGCAGTGTCTGCCCTAAACGCGAAATTGTGTGACCACAATCTCAATGGATTCACATAAGAATTTGTACATAGTCAAATGATCATTTATTATTATTATTAATTATTATTATTATCTTGGTTTTTTTTTTTTTTTTTTTTTTTTTTTTTTTTTTTTTTTTTTTTTTTTAACGCAATAATATTGCATTTTGGCGGAGATAGTGGCGGGTGTGAAAAGGAAAAATGCACGCATTGCATAATAATTGCAATACATTGCGTAAATCGAATGAAATGCAGAAGAAGGAATAACATTTAAGAAAAGTGATAGCTACGGTGTTTTCAGAATGTGAGATAGAGTCGAGAAATTTCTGAATGTGAGAGGAAAAATAGAACGGAAAGAAGAGAAATGCTATAAGAAATTTATCCTATAAGAAAGAAAGAGAGAGAAAACAAAAAATAATAACGTATATGCCAAACAGCAACAAAATATTATATAATAATGGATCACATAATAAAACCTTTCACGCGGATGTCACGAAATAAGCGTATAAGCGTAATAAATTTCTTTCCGCGTTATCACATAGACTTTTCTATTATAATAATGAAATTAGGAAGAGAAAGAGAAAGATAAGAGAGAAAAGAGAGTTTTTTTTTTTTTCATAAAAAGCGTAAAGTTGTATTTCGCAATTCCGTTCTTCTCGTCTAATCACGTTCTTCCTTGTTGCATTTTTTACATCAATCTAAAATCACGTCATTTCAGCATCGATTTTGTTCATCGGTTTTTCATTACACTTCTTCATCGTTCGGACGATAATGTATGTAGACATCGGTACGCGTACAGGTACATTCTTCATGTACCAGCGTCCATCTACTGCTAACACATATATATATAATATATATATATATATATACTTCGTGATTTTTAATAACGCTTAGATATTGTTTTTGCTAATTCTATTAATAAATGTATAGTAAATTGTAACAACAATATTCGGCATATATGGGATTAATTGCGGTATGTTGTTTAGAATGATTCACGTCCAGAGTTTAATTAGAGATATTTTACACTTAGTGAGTGAGAATGTGAGGGAGCGAAAGGAAAAAAAACGAGCGAGTGAAAGTAAGATAGAAAAAAAAGAGGAGAAACAATTACAGAGTATATAGAAAATATGAAGAATTATATATATAAATGTAGAGTTTAGAAGGTGCAACGGAGTTTTAACCATGTTACCGATATCACGAGGACAAAAAAAAAAGAACCCTTTACGCGCGATACAATAAGTAAGCAACAAACGATATACAATTGCTGCAATTTAACTATATATATTTAACTTAGAGCAGGGCCGTTACGGCTATCGGGTCCATGATAGCCTCGCAAATCTCTCGAGTGCCTTTGAATCGAGAGTAATCAGATGAATCGGTGTAATCTAACAAAAATACCGCCGAATTCGCTTCGGCGGGAAAAAAGCGACGTCTAAACTTCTCGTTTCCTCTTGTTCTTCTTCGCCTTCTTCGTTTCTTACCGGTTGTGTAGTGGTTTTACTCCTCTTGTATTTAGATTAATAAGCGATCTGCGCCCACAACACACACCTTTTCGTATACGCATCAAATACGTTTACATTATACAAAACAAACAAAAAAAAAAAAATATTTAACCAACTCGATGTGCCTGTTTAACGAATAATCGTATTTACTGGATAATTAATTAATAATGAGAAAAGGAAATAAAAGTAGAGAGGAGGGTCTGGTTTTCTTTTTCTTCGATATAATATAGACTGAGCGCGCTGTATTCAGAATTGAAGCATTGCAATATATCATCTGTGAACCACGCGTTACGTACGCGTTTGGTATCCGGCTCTCCGGTTTTGTTTCTTCTTTCTTTGACATCACACACGAATTGATCCCACGCCCAGTTTGTATATGTACAGATACATACATGCTTCCATATATAGCGGTAGAAGTTAGCTCACGTCGCATTGAAAAGAAAAAAAAAAAAAAAAAAACTATCTCATACTCTCTCCTCCATGTGAGTCGTGAGAAAAGTCATATCTTTAGGTTTCATCATATTGCAATGTTAGAGAGAGAATGGTCGTAGGATGTGCGTATGTGCATGCGCATGTGCGTGTAAATGTGCCTTGGGTGTGCGCATATATACACGTACGTGCATAAACGTTAGTTTATCACATCACGTATATAGTTGCGATAGGTTTTCGTCTCCTCTTTATTTTCGTATGTACGTTTGTGCGTATTGTTGTAGATCGTGTTTTTTAGTCACATGTTTTTCGATATCACGGGCAGAGGACGTCTTGACTGACGACGAGGATTTTTATTAGCTAGTAAGCGGTAGCGTTTTTTAATTGTTACACTTCGGTCAGACATCAATTATGTCGTTCTGTTTTTCCGTTCCGAGATTACAGTACATGAGAAAACAAAAACAAAAAAGAAAAAAGAAAAAACGCATGATAGACGTAGCAGGGAAGACTTAGGCGTGTGACATATCGACTATTTTAAGGGTACAAAATGTACACGGACCATCACTACTTAGGTCGATTTTGATTTTCGTTGTCCTGGGTTTTCGGTATTAATCGTCGGTCAACGCGTGCTCCGAGTCACGTTCACGCACTCATTGTCTATTTTAAAAGCACACTATTGTAACACATAATACAAACACCACACCACACACAAAAAATCATACATTTATAAACTACCTAAATAAAAAAAAAAAGTAGAGACGCTATAAAACGCTGTGTGAAAAATTAAGTAAAGGATACCGTAACTGTATCAATGGTTCTAGTTGTGATATTTTATTATAATGCCGATACATATATATAAATAAATATATAAATATAAATATAAATATATATATATATATATATATATATATATATATATACATATATATATATATATATATATATATATATATATAGAGTCGCAGTGCGCAGTTAACTTTTAGCGGGTTCTTCTCGCGTGCCCGACATATTATATTTCGCGAGATATAGAACATGTAGAGCCGGAGAGGAAAGTTATGTATCCTAATCTTTAACATTTATTAATTATAGCCAAAAGGAAGATTGTAATTTATGATAATCGAGATAACGTTACGCGCGCGATTGTTTGACGTGTCTTGTAAACGACGATTTTTTGTTTTTAATTTATTTCGTTATATATATATAGTTGCGTGTACTGTCGTCGATATTTCGTTTTGTTACAAATTTACTGGATATGTTCAAGTGTTCGTTTGAAATTATCCAACAATTTTATGTAAATAGAAAAACAGTTTTACACTTTGCAGTTACACGTCATTCGCGTTGAAGTGTGACTATTTTTTTCGTGATATATGTATCTTCTAAATAAGCCGCATATGAGTGACAATTTTCTAAATAAAAAAACAAAATTATTTAACCGGTTATTAAAAGATACAAGTCGCGCGCAACACTGTAACTAAACTATCGTTTGAATAGTACGATAATAACATAAAATTAGAAGACTATGTATAGCATCTAGTTATTTTAATCATTTTGGAATATATATGTACATATGTTTCTTATTGGGGGGATAAGGGATATTAATCTTAGGTGTAGTGCCTAAAAGTGAGATGAGATTTGATGCGATTTACTTTGGCGAATCTCTCTCTGAGTCCGTGCGCACTGATACAGAAAATGTTTACTGAATCGCCGTAAACAACCGTATGTGAGAAAAAAAAATGATCGAGACTTGATTTATATTAAAACTATATCAATTAGAGGTTATTTTTTATGGGTAGTTTTAATATCAACAAAATTGCCGTTTCAATAAAAAAAACATTGAAAGTGACCGACGAACGGTGGGCCGACGCTTTTTTCGTAGGTAGTGTTTTTCTGTATAGGCGCTGACGGGTAATGTCTGAGGAGACACGTTTGAAGTTTGAGAAACGCTTGAATGTGCTTAGTATGAGAAAGATAATCGTGTAAAAAGAAAAAAAACAGCGAAAGAACGTAAAGAAAAAAAGAGAAAAAAAGAAAATACAGGCGTATAAGGAGGCAGGCTTTATAATTTCATTGTGGAAGTAGGATCAATATATAAATATTCATCGCGTTAAGCAAGTACGGGATCGTATTAAAAATATATATATATATATATTATCACTGTAAACAAAGTAACACTGACTCTTACGAGAAATAGATATTGTATATATATATAGCTATATATAAAATATAGAAAAGAACAACATATTTTTGGAGTTAATAGAAGATTGATAT